CTTCCCCAGAGTCCATCTTCCTGGTCTCTAATTGCAGAAGAGGTTCAGGAAGAAAACAATGTTCCCATCTTTGCAATATGGAAGAGTATATATATCCCCATGCATCTAGTCTCAGATTGACCCATCCTGCTTGGACAGCCTCCCCTTTGTGTGTGCAAGGCCTAGAGTACCCGGAAAGCAAAGGAGTCTCCCTGAACGACTCCACAAAAGTCGGAAGATAACCTCCGTGAACACTGCATGTACCTCTACTGTGACATTTATCACATCTGTTATCATTGGCTCTTTATGTTTCTGTCTTGGGCCTCTCCTCCCTCACCCTGCCCCGAGGCTCTGGCCTCCTCAAAGGCAGTGGTCAACCAGATCTACTCACCTCGCTGTCTCCAGCACCCAGCACAGTCCCTGGTGCATAGTGGACACAGCAAACGAAACACTCAATTCCCATGCGCTGTTCTCTGCACCTGCCCTTCTCTGGCCCCTCTATCTCCTGCTCCACCGACCAAACTCTTGCTCTACAGGATATCCTGGTGGCTCTGTGCCATTCCCTACAGCATTCTTATCTTTATCTATGACGAAGTCAGAAAATTCACCATCCGTCATCATCCTGGCGGTGAGCTCCCCTGCACCCTGCTCTGAGTTAGTGGTCACCAGCCTCCTGACTGGCTCTCCCATCCCGCCTGGTTCCTCTAGGCCCATTGCCTTTCTCCCCACCTCACTACCTGGCCTGTGCTGAGCCTGGACCCCAGCCCTCTAGTCCTGGCTCCACCACCCTGCTCCTTCCAATCCTCAGTGTCCCGTGTTCCACCCTCAGGCCTCCCACCTTGTCCTCGCCTATGCTTCTGCCTGTCTCCCCTAGATGCCTCCCCTGCTGCCTTCCCCAGTTCACTCTGCTCTCTTCTCTTCCATAGGCTGGCTGGAGAGGGAGACCTACTACTAACCTCAGCAGAGGAAGAGCTTCACATGACCTAAGGGTGTCCTGAAGGCCAGGTGGAGGGTAGGGGTTATGAGTTTGGCACATCTGAGAGAGCATAGGAGATGGGGCAGAGAGATGCTAGGATGAATTACCTCAGATGAGAGGGATACAGGTGGTCCTGGTGCTGGAATGAGGGCACCATGAGGAGGAGATGGGATAGGTTGAGCAGAAGCCCGGCCTGCATCTGGCTGGAGCCCAGCAGGGAGGGGCCTTGCCCTGTTGAATCCAGTAGCCAGTCTACAGAGTAAATGTTTTCAACAGCTCTCACCTGGCTGGATGTGTCACATCTGATTTTTGTAGAGTGGGGATTTCTGTGACGCTCTATCCCTAGATCTTCATGGTAACCAGGCAGGGACATTCTTTCAGGGCTGAAGTCAAGGCTGGGAAGGGATAAGAATCAAGAATCCTCGCCCCGGGACTGGCCTGGTGGCGCAGTGGTTAAGTGCGCACACTCTGCTTTGGCGGCCCATGGTTCACAGGTTCGGATCCTGGGTGCTCACCGACGCACCACTTTTCAAGCCATGCTGTAGCAGCATCCCATATAAAGTGGAGGTGGATGGGCACGGATGTTAGCCCAGGGCCAATCTTCCTCAGCAAAAAAGAGGAGGATGGCGTGGATGTTAGCTCAGGGCTAGTCTTCCTCACAAAACAAAAAACAAAAAAGAATCCTTGCACCTTGAAGGCTAGCCCCCATCTTAAAGTCACTCTCCGACCTGATGGAAAGCAAGGACAGGCCAAGTGACTGCCCCCAAAGTCAAGATGGGATCAGAGAAATGGAGGGGGGTATTGTGAGAGAGGAGCAGCGGGGCCACACCCTATAGAGGGGCCACAGCACCCACATCCGGTGCTGTCAGGGGCTACTCATCCAGCCCCACCCACACGGTTCCTCAGATCAGCTTATAGAATCATAGAGTTTTAGTGCTAGAGAGACCTTATTTTATCACTTAAGAACCTGAGGTCCAGAGAGGTTAAAAGACTTGGGAAGGGTCACGTGGTGAGTGGTGAATGTGGGGCCACAGCCCCTCCTCTGAGGAAGGGACTGGTGGTCCCTGCCCTCCACCCCCTGTCATTGGGGCATCTCGACCCCATCCCATACATCAGCCAGTTTTCTCTGGTGTAGTCTTGAAATAGATGCTGTAAGAATGCTTTTCGAATCCCTGTAGCCTTTACTTAAGGTGAAGCACCCCAACCCCTCGTGCCCCAGGCTCCACAGGGGGTGATGGACATTCCTAAAAGCCTGGTCTCGGAGCCCAGCACTTGGCTGCATCTCAGGTGGGTGAGCAGCCCTAGGAGTCTCCTGCCCACCCTTGGTGGTGGCTCTTCTTCCTCTTCACCCACTCGCTGGCTTTTGCTTTGTGAACCCATCCACTTTGTCTTGTGGTTTAGTTCATTCTCTTTTAGAGGAGAGGATTGGCTGTGCCCAAAAGTATACAGAGCAAGAGAGAAACACTAAGGAAAGCCGGGGGAGATCGTAGACTGTCACCAAAAACAAAGCACAAGTGTTAAGTGACTGCGCGCTTCGCCTGGCAGAGGGACAGGGGCCTTACACACACCATCCATTAATCCAGATAACAAATGTATTCTTAACACCCTCCCCCACATTTTATAGACGAGGAAACCAAGGTCTGTCTTGTTCCAGAACTTGTGCCTTTCATCACTTTTCAAACTGGTCTTACAATGAGGGCTGAGCCAAAAATATACAAATATAACACAAAAAATAGGACAGTGATGGAGGAAGGGCCAGGGACAGTCTGGGCTGGCAAAGAGAAGGCCACTGTAAAGTACAGCCCACCACTCCTCCCTACATCGGGCCCCTCCTCAGAGGTCTCTCTCCTGCCTATTCCCCTTCCTCCTCCAACACAAGGTCTCCTAGGGACAGGGCTATATCAGTCTGGGGTCCTTCCCTGTCTGCTGACACGGCTGAACCAGACCCTGGAAGTTAGAGGGGCCAGGGTGTGTGTGAGTGAGGTGGGGAGGGGGAGTTGGAGGGGCCAGCTCCTCAGGTTTCAGTAGCAGGAGCTTTGGGTGTCTGGTGGGTTAAAAATACAGAGGCCCAACTCAGGGTCATTTGACACCAGTGGCTGAAGCCTGTTAACTCCTAAGGCCTGAAGGCAGGGGCATAGAGGGAAGGGTCTGAGTAGACAGTAGAGAGCAAAGCATCAGAGAGAGGAGGAGAGGGAGTGGGAGGGGAAGGGGAACAGCTGCTGGAAAGGAAAAGGGCAGAACTGGAGAGCCAAGGGCAAGGAGAGGGAGTAGGATGGGATGAAATGGTCTGGTGGGTGCAGGAGGAAACAGAGCAGGCCTGGGGCCCATCTCACACCCTTGGGGGTACAAAAGGTCAGATTCATGATGGATTGAGTCTCAAGTTCCAACGTCTCTGTCCAAATGTTTCCCCCTCCCCAAGAGTGCAGCAGAAGTAAGACATCAGGGCTGGTCATCTATTTCTGGGCCGGTATGCCCATCTCTCCCACTGTCTTTGCTCTGGCTGTGGGGCTGTGGGCATGTTAGTCACTCTCTTGTGAGCCCGGGAGATGGGTTCTGAGGTCTCTTCAGCTCTAACATGCCCTGCTTAGGCTAGCTGTGGCCTTTTGTGCTCCAGTGACAGCTGTCCCTCTTGGACCTACTCCTGCCACGTTCTTGAGCTTTTCCGTGGCCTTCCTTGCTTAGCTATGTAAGGTCCACCCCACGGGAGTGTGGAAAAGTTATTCCTTTAACATAATTTCATTCCCCTGCCTGGGTGCACAATAAACACGGTCCCTCCAACACCAGAGATACCTCAGGGTGAGGATGGAGGGCTTCTGACTTTGATCTAGCCTCTCCATGGTCTCCCTAATGCTTTGGTTTATCTGTACATGGTAAGAGCCCTGGCGGGCATGAAGAGGCTCCTTCCTTCCTAGGTACCCAGAACTGAACTCATCCACTCTGCCCTCCGCCCCAAGCTGGGGGTGCAGGAAGTTAGAGCCTCCCCCCGAGTTCTGCTTTGACTCTCAGGTGCACAGAATTAATCAATATCCTGGCTCAGGGCATAGGACCCACCCCTTTATATCTTCCCGGTGTTAATTTGTTCCCCTGGTGTTTATACCTGATCCTCTTTGTCTTGTCAAAGACGTAGGAATGAATAGTCGCTATCTGCTCTCCTTGGAATCATTCAGCCTGGGGGATCCTCCCTTCCCACTGTGTCCTAGAAAACTGAGTCCCATAGGATCAGAGTAGAGAGAGCAAGCAGGGCACAGTGGCCGAATGAATTTCCCCTTCTCATCTTGTGCGTCCTGGGCAGAGAAACCCCAAATCCACACCTCTACACGATGGACGTGGGCCAGCACTTCTCGTCCCACGCCCTGTCCTTCCCCGGCATTCCCGAGTTAGGAGTGTTGAGTGAAGCAAAGGAAACTGGCTGGAGCTGAGCCAGGTGGCCAGTCCTGGACGCGGCTCCATCTTTTATTCAGAGGATGACCTCATCCTTGGTCCTGGTTCTTTAAAGGGAAGTGCAGGGGTCTCTTTCCTGCAACCAGGATTGCATTTTTACCGCCCTCCTCCTCCACAGGATCAAAGAAACAGACTTCACCTAGAGAAGACTCCCAGCTCTTAGGACCCAGAGTCAATACTGCATTTGTCCCGCTTTTGTCCTGTCTTATGAATTTGACCTCTGACCCAGAACACCTCCTCCCCTCCACCTCCATTTCCTTCTCTCTGAGTACCTTACCCTCCCTCAGCCCTCCCTAATTACTCAAAATCTCCCCTCCCCCAGCCCCAGCTTCATTTACCTCCAACTCATCTGGTCTTATTTTTAGCTCTGGCTTTTTCCTTTCTTAATATGGCGATGAGCACTTAGGCCAGAGGCGCCGGGACAGGGGCTGAGGAGCCCTGGGCGTTGGGGGAGGGGGAGGGGAAGGAGGCTCTGGGAGCCTGGGGGAGAGGTGTAGGAGGTGGGAGGACCTGGCCCTCATGGAGCTGTCCTGGCCTCGGAAGGTTATCCATCTCTGCTGCCAATCCCAGAGACATATTTAGACAGGACCCGGTGGGGGCTGAGGGGTGCCAATCTCAGGGGCAGCTCCGGTTCCCTCCCCGCCCCCTGCTCCTATTCCTCCTCCTGACCCTTGTTCTCTTGGCTCTCTGGGCAGTTTCTCCAGGACTCAGCAGTGTCCTCTGTCCACTGCTCTGGGCCATTCCCCACCCCACCCCCACTGTGAGCCCCTAACTCAAGATTCGGGACCCAGGGGCTCCTCCCTACCCCAGCTAACTTCTCCTGGACCAGGAGAGCCGGCCCACATCCCACTACCTCCATGAGCGCTGCAGACAGGATGGGGGCCAGAGCTGTGCAGGGCCTGCGACTGGCACTGCTGTTACTGCTGGTGCTAGGGACCCCTAAGTCAGGGGTGCAGGGGGAGGAAGGGCTGGACTTTCCTGAGTATGATGGTGTGGACCGTGTGGTCAATGTCAACGCAAAGAACTACAAGAATATCTTCAAGAAGTATGAGGTGCTGGCACTGCTCTACCATGAGCCCCCGGAGGATGACAAGGCCTCACAGAGACAATTTGAGATGGAGGAGCTGATCCTGGAGGTGAGTGGTGGGGTCTGCAAGCCCACAGAGCACACCCAGCCGCTCTATCCTACAACTACAAGTAGATCTTTGAGGGTAGGATTTAGGGCTAGGGGCAGTGCGGCAGGACCCCCATCTTCACCAACAGGACACAAGTGGCATGTGGCCTTAGCCAAATGAGAAACAGACTTGGGAACCCAAAAGTACCACCGTAGTTAGGCAGTTTTAGGAGGAAGGGAGGGAGGCCACAGGGAGATCTCTCCTCCATGCTATAGGAGGCTGGTAGTACTAGGTTTGGCTAGGACTGAGGTGGGTACCCCCCCAATCTACTTTCCTAGCCAGAACATGCCCTCTCTCTCTACACTTTAGGGGCTGTACCCCTAAGAGATCCAAACTGAGTATAAATTTAAATGTTATTGACATCTTATCTGCATGTCATTTATTTCATGGCTAAAGGTTTAACAGAAACCACCATGCCTCCCATTGGTCTCTCAGTCCCCTCTCTCTTCCCCTACCTCCCGAATTCCCCATCTGCCCTTATTGGATCAAGCTGGATTCCCTGAGTGGAAAATTCTTGTGATTGGAGGATGCTTCAAAATGCATTCCCCACCTTCTCTTTGTGGGAAGATTCTCCTAACCCCCAAGCTGACTTAAGGCCCAAAGGAGAGGGAGGCTATTGTAACAAGAAAACAAGCCTATTTGGGGATGACTGGGAGAGTTGGTCACATAGCCTTCTAGGAGCCAGGGTGTGTCAGAGTCTCCTTGTTTAAGCCTCTGCAGCCCCTTCTCTAGCTTGGCTGTACAGAGAGCCCCCAGTTTGCCCAGAGCTTGGAGTATTTCAGGGCAAGATACCAGGCCTGCAGGCTCTCGTTCGTGTGCCCCTGCCGAGGGCTGGAACCGCCATCTGATTAATGTGCTGAGTATTTTTATCCTGAGTGCTCAGCATCCCTGGCCATCCACCTGCCAAAGGCCTCCCTTCCCTGTCCTCCTGAGAATCTGGGCACCCGAGTCTGTGTTAGGTAGGGTAAAGCTGCAAGCCGTGCCCAAGGCAGAGGCTGCTGAGGACAGGGACCTATGGGTGTGACTATACGTAGCCTAGGGACAGGCTGAGGTACAGAGGGAAAGGGCAAGTTAGGCCCAGATGAGGAGCATGGCCTGTTTCACCTCTAGTCTCTGCAGTCTCTGCCTCTGCGGGTGATGAGTGATGGCCACAGTGACGGCTACTCTCGGCTCTCTGGCTCTCCTCACTCCTCAGCAGCATGACCAGACCTCCCACCACCCTCCTGCCCTCCAAAGTTCTTCCCATTGGAAGAATGGGAATTCTTCCCACTCAGAAGAATCCCAGGGACTTCACAGCCACACTGAGCATGGCCTTTGATCAGGATGGAGTGCAGGGTTCCATGGAGTCCCTGAAGGAGGGAAGGGCCTCAGTCACTCTGAAGCCAGACTCAGCATCGCTAAGAACCGGGAAGTATCACGCGCAGTGCCTCAAAGTTCTGCATAATAAGCACATGTAAATGAGCAATAAATGTTCAGGGATTGAAGCTGAACTAAAGACCAGAGGGGTGGGGTTGTAGGGAAAGTGGAGATAGCCTGGATCCTAGCACAGTGTCAAGGTTAACTCTACTATTCCCTGCATCCCAAATGACCCAACTTGGAAGCATGAGATGGGGAATAGGGGTTACTAAGAATTCCGTGAGCTGATTCTAACCCTAACTCTCCCTCCAGTTAGCAGCCCAAGTCCTAGAAGACAAGGGTGTTGGCTTCGGGCTGGTGGACTCTGAGAAGGATGCAGCTGTAGCCAAGAAACTAGGTAAGGGAGGGGTGGGAGGAGCAGGGAGGGAAGCTGGCCTGTGAGACTGGGGAGGCCTAGGCTGGAGGACTGGGCGGCAGCCCTTGTATAGGCTAGGGCCTCTACCATGCCTATTCTGAAATGGGGGGAGAAAAATACTGAAATTGGGAATGGTATGGCTGGGGGTCCTGGCCTCTCCTTTATTCCTTATAGAGACCCATGCTCAAATCCCAGAAACAGGTGGAGGTGGCCTTTTTTACCCTGAGGCAAAAAACAGGGCTAGGTGCTGGAGGAAAGGGGGAATTCAGGGAACACAGCTAGGGCTGGAGAGGCCTCTGCAAACTCCTCTTCCAACCCCTCCCCCTCCAGAACCTCGGGCCAGGCGTTACAGCACCGGCCACCAGGGGGCAGCACAGGCCTGAGACTGGACTCCGGATGTGGATGGGGGAGGGGTGGTCAGTAATGAAGTCATCTGGTCAGTAATAGCAGAGGGTTAAAGGGCTGCACTGGGAATCAGTGACTAGAGTCCTCAGAGGAGATAACATAAATATCTGTCTGTCGTGGCAGGCAGAGAAAGGGAGAAAACTTGCTAGAGTTTTCTGCCCTATGTCCTGCCCTAACACCCCTACCTGAACCCAGCTTCTCCCTGGAGAGCCCCTGGGGCGAGGGGCACAGACACTAGCGGGGTAGGAGTTAAGGGGCAGTGGAGGTGAGGGGGCGAGGTGGGGGGAGGTGGAGGATATGGGGCCCAGTGGGATTACGGCTGCCACCCTGGATTTGGACCCTTGGATCTGTGGGAAGGTTGGGCTCATGCTCACTCCTGGCTCACTCCCAGGACTAACTGAAGAGGACAGCATTTATGTGTTCAAGGGAGATGAAGTCATTGAGTATGATGGCGAGTTTTCTGCTGACACCCTGGTGGAGTTTCTGCTTGATGTGAGGATTCCCCTGGACCTAATCACTTTGTTTAAGACTTCACGCCCTCCCCACCAACTCCAACCTCACACACACAGTCAACAGCTACCCGTTTCCCCCATTCCCCAGTCCTCCTCTCCCTGCTTCTACTAGTGAGGACAGAAACTCACTCTCTTCCTTCAATGTCCCTGCTCCTCCAGGTCCTAGAGGATCCTGTGGAATTGATTGAGGGTGATCGAGAGCTGCAGGCATTCGAGAATATTGAGGATGAGATCAAACTCATTGGCTACTTCAAGAACAAAGATTCAGAGCGTGGGTAACCCTCAGACTCCACTGTGCCCTCCCTGGATCCCCATTTTACCTGTCCTCCTACCTCCCCACTTCACCCACTGTCTCAGCAGCTCTGCTTCCTAACTCCTCTTGCCATGGTCAGCTCCATCAACTGCTCTGAGCTCCCCGCACTCTGGGGGCTTCCCAGACGGGCACTTCCCACATTCTACCTCCTGCTCCCCGCTCCCACTATATTTTAGCCACTCTCAGAGGACAAGAGGTGGTGGGTCTCAGAATGAATCTCACCTCCCAAAGAAGAATTGGGGAGAGACAGAGAGGGGATGGTTCCCTGGCAGACCCTGGTTCCCCCAGAGACTGACTCTGCATTCCCCCCTCAGATTACAAAGCCTATGAGGATGCGGCAGAGGAGTTTCATCCCTACATCCCCTTCTTCGCCACCTTCGACAGCAAGGTTCTCCTCCCTGCGGCTACATTGGGTCTCCCTCATTCCCCTCAGCTGCCCTCCAGTCCCCTCTTCCAGAATTTATGGGGGACCTAGTCCCTCCCTACACACAACACTCCCCACTTTCACCCCCACCTCAGGCCTCTCCCACTCCATAGATTTTAGATATCTAACCTACCCCTCTTCTGTTCAACCAAAGCCCAGAGAAGTTAAGACATTTGTCCAGTGTCACAGTGGCAGTGACAAAGGCCCAGGTTGTCTGACTCCCTTCCTAATATCTGCTCCCCCATAGTACTGCTTCTCACATTGATCCTGCATCCCCTGCTCCACTCCCCCCTGCCCCCTCCCCCAAAGGTGGCAAAGAAGCTGACCCTGAAGCTGAATGAGATCGATTTCTATGAGGCCTTCATGGAAGAACCTGTGACCATCCCAGACAAGCCCAATAGCGAAGAGGAGATTGTCAACTTCGTGGAGAAGCACAGGAGGTGGGGAGCAGGGGCAACCCTCTGAGCAGGGTAGGCTCCTCCTCAGGCTACAAAACACCCGTCTATGAGATAGGCTGGGGGAGTCTCAGCCAGCCAGGAGGCTGGTCTGACCTGGAGATGAATATGCTTCTGGGTACCAGTGCTCACTGATACACTGACCATTGTGCACAATATTTTGCACCCTAGCACTTAGCCCTGAGCCCTACACACAGAAGGTTCTTAATAAATGTGTACGGCTAACTGTGATGTTGATTGTGATGAGTGTTAAGTGCCTGTGGTCTGACAGGACCTGTGAGGTGCTTTCTATCTCTATTATTTTATTTAACCTTTCTAACAACCTCAGTTAAAGAGGTTCCATAGGTAGTAAGTGTCAGAACGGGATTCTAACCCAGAACTGATCTGTGTTCATTCTCATACATTACCCTACGCCAGTGGTTCTCAACAGGGATGGAGGGATTGGTGAGGTAGGGGGAGGATTTTGCCCTCCAGGGGATATTTGGCAATGTCTGAAGACATTGTTGGTTGGAAGGAGTGCTACTCGTGTTTAGAGGGTAGAGGCCAGTGATACTGCTAAACATCCTACAGTGCACACAGGACAGCCCCCCAACAACACAGAATTATCCAGCCCTAAATGTCAGTAGTGCTGAGGTTGAGAAACCCTGCCCTACACTCACACATAATTCTCTCCCTTCATAGTACTCCACCACTGGAAATACCCACTCATCAGTGTAAACGCTGCTCACTCTCACTCTCTCCCACTAGATTATGGTCCCCTTCATCAGGGCAGGAACGTGTTTGCCTTGTTCAGCTCTATCTACACAGCACCTTGCACAGTGCTTAGAAAATCTCAGACGCTCAGTTTTATGGAAGGAATGGGTGAATGAATGAACGAATGAATGAACGAATTCCCAGATGTCCAGTTCTTACCTTCCTCCCAAAAGTCTCTCTCCCAGTCCCTTGCCCACCCTCCGCTCTCCCACCTGCCTTAACCATGCAGTGATCTGGGCCTGGTGCCCAGGGCTTAGGCTTGGCTAGATGGCTTTGTTCTGGGCTATAAGCTGTCTGTGCCCTAGACATGACCCAGAGGCAGCCTCTGCTGTGGGCACCCTCTGGAGGGGAGGGCGTCCTTCTCATGCACGGAGTATGACTCTCTATCTGTCGCTTATAGGTCAACCTTGAGGAAACTGAAGCCTGAGAGTATGTATGAGACCTGGGTGAGTGCCCCTGGACCAGGCCAGGCCCTCGGGGGAGCATGGGTGGCTGAAGACGCAAGTCCTAGAAACATCCCACCTTGCTGTTCCTCATGCCTTGCTTGTAGGAATGACAATGCACCAGCAAAGGTTGAGGGTTTCGTTCTAAGAATGTGTCAGGAATTGGGAGACACACATAAATTGATGAAGATGACAAGGGAGGAGCTCCAAGCTCTGGGGCTAAAGGGTTTGTGAGGGGAGGTGTGGGGGCCATGGACCTGAAGGGGGCAGTGTCGCTTGGAAAAGGGTCACCACCACAAGAATATACCTGATCCAGGGCTGGCCCCATGGCTTAGCGATTAAGTGCACGCGCTCCGCTACTGGTGGCCCGGGTTCGGATCCCGCGCGCGCACCGACGCACCGCTTCTCCGGCCATGCTGAGGCCGCGTCCCACATACAGCAACTAGAAGGATGTGCAACTATGACATACAACTATCTACTGGGGCTTTGGGGGAAAAAAAAAGGAGGAGGATTGGCAATAGATGTTAGCTCAGAGCCGGTCTTCCTCAGCAAGAAGAGGAGGATTAGCACAGATGTTAGTTCAGGGCTGATCTTCCTCACAAAAAAACAAAAAAAAAAGAATATACCTGATCCAGAAGCTGGACTCCCACAAAATTCAGGTTCAAGGAAGATCTAGGGTCTGTTCTGGGCTCTCTAACTTCAGGGAGCATACCTAAGGCCTCCCATCTCCCAACAGGAGGACGATCTGGATGGAATCCATATTGTGGCCTTTGCAGAGGAAGCCGATCCTGGTGAGAGAGGAATACTGGATTGGATTTGGGGGGCATTGATGAGGGGGGTGATGGGGGTGTGTGTTGTAGCATAGGCTTCACTTGGGAGGCATTCCTGGAAAAGTGCAAGCAGCCTGCGGCTAGACCTGTGGAACTGTGGGAGGCAGGAAAGAGATCTAGTCTCTTGTTCCCTCTGGGTCCTTTTCCTCTCTGCCCCACCTCACACTTCTCACTTGTGTTCCCTCCAAGATGGCTATGAGTTCTTAGAAATCCTCAAGTCTGTGGCCCAAGATAACACTGATAACCCTGACCTTAGCATCATCTGGATTGACCCTGATGACTTCCCCCTGGTAAGAGGCCTGCACAGGCACTGCTAACCTAAGGTGGGGCCTTAGACAGTGACACTTCTTGAGGGGAGCTTGTTTCAGAGTCTTTCCCCATCTTCTAGCTGGGGGACCCTGGGAGGTGTATGCCTGTTGCATGATCAAGGGCACTGTGGGCATGAAGGGCATCCTGAGAAAGGGAAAACAGGATGGGAAGTGAATTGCATGGGTCATAACACACACGATTCCTAGAGCAGAGGCTGGGTGGGTAGCACATGTGCCTACGGCTGGCTCCTTCTAAAGAAATCCAGAATTTGGGGGAATGGGTGGGCACGTTAACCCTGCACGTGGTGTACACAATCATAAAAGCAAAGCACAGAGATTCCATGTCTCAGGGTACAGCTTTGTTTCCAGCTGAATCCCCAACACCTAGCACTCGTTGTTGAAAGAGCAATGGAATGGACAAACAGAAATGTAAGGAACATTGGCAATTACCAGGTATAACTACCATAGTTTAGAGATGTAGAAACTGAGGGCCAAGGAGAAGTGACTTGCCCAAAGTCACAAGGTCAATCAGTAGCAGATCCAGGATCATAACAGGGGTTTCCTATCTAGTTTTCCTCAGAGAGGAGGGGCCAGTGTCCCCAGCTGACACTCTTGATACTTTCCCTTTGGGATTTCTACCCTTTAACTGCTTAGCTCTATCCATTCCCTTCAGGCCTTACAGAAGGACCCATCTCTCATCCACTGTGAGTTCATGGTGTCCTCCCTCTGTCCCTGGGCTGACCCTCACACACATCCACCTGGATTCATGTGTTCCTAGACTCCATTAAGTTACCATATGTGGTCTCTCTACAGCTGGTTCCATACTGGGAGAAGACATTTGACATCGACCTGTCAGCCCCACAAATAGGAGTCGTCAATGTTACTGATGTGAGTTTCCTTCCCTCATCCCCGGTTGACCCCCAACTCTGCTTCCCAGCATAGCTAGCTCTCCTCTGCTCTGCCAAGTAGGAATTGAGCCCTTCCCAGAGAAATTAGACATGCCCAGTCTAATGGCTGGATAAAGGGAGAGATGCATGACCTGGACACGCCCCTGTCTCCACCTGTTGTAATCGGCTACTCATCCTTCAAGGCCTAGTTCAAATCCTCTCTTCTCCATGAAGTCTTTCCAGATCGCCCATTTGGAATCCTTCCCTCCCTGGCACTCCCAGAGCCCATTTGGCATCGAGAACATGGCTTTTACATGGCTATTTATGTATCATGTCTGTCCCCTCCAGTACACTTTGAGCTTTTTGAGGGCAGAAATCTTCTCATTCACACATAGCAGGTGCTTCAAAAATGGTTCTTGAGTTGAATTGAATAAGCCACAGTCTTTGCTTTCCTATAATTCTCAGTCTAACTGGGGAGCCAGGTATTCTATTAACTACAAGGCCAGATCTGATAAACTCTATAATAAAGATACAAATAAAATGCTAGGAAGGCACAGAAATCACGGTGTTTTCTGCTTGAGAGAATCAGATAAGAGTTTAAAAGGAGTGGCATTTAAAGTGGAGATTGTACAAAGTATAGGAGTTCTACAAGTGAAAATTACGAGAAGTGATTTCCAAATTGATGGGAAAGTTAGTGCAAAGCGTCAAAAGTAGGAAAACGAATATCAGGTTCAGGAAAAGGCAAGTAGTTTTTTATGGCTTGAGAGTCTAGAGATCTCTGAGGATGGTGCTGGAAAAGCAGGTTATGAAAAGCCTTGAATGCTGGAGAGTCACTGACTTTATATTCTAGTCCAGGAAGAGCCACCAGTGGTTTTGCATCAAGGGCATGATAGAGAGGTCTGTTTTATTATTTTTTTTTAATTTTTTTATTTTTTGTGAGGAGATCAGCCCTATGCTAACATCTGCCAATCCTCCTCTTTTTTTTGCTGAGGAAGACTGGCCCTGGGCTAACATCCATGCCCATCTTCCTCCACTTTATATGGGACGCCGCCACAGCATGGCTTAACAAGCAGTGCATCGGTGCGCGCCGGGATCCGAACTGGCGAACCCCGGGCTGCCGCAGCGGAGCGCGCGCACTTAACCGCTTGCGCCACTGGGCCGGCCCCGAGAGGTCTGTTTTAGGAAGCTCAGCATGTCAAGAGGTTGGAAGAAAGATTGAAGGGAGAAGGTCTATTTGCCAGTCCAACCATTCTTCCTACCAACCATTGTTTCTACTCCCACTGTCACTATTCTAACCTAGACCTTCACCTGGACAGTTTCTCTGGCCATTGACAGATAAAGGGAAGGGACAGAGGATGTAGGGAAGGATGTACAGAGTCCAGTGAGGGGGAGGATGGGTCCAAAGACCTGAGTCAGGCTTAGCTCTGGTCCCCTGTCTGTGCCATGTCCTAGGCGGACAGTGTATGGTTGGAGATGGATGACGAGGAGGACCTGCCTTCTGCTGAGGAGCTGGAGGACTGGCTGGAGGATGTGCTGGCAGGCGAGATCAACACAGAGGATGATGACGAAGACGATGATGATGACGACGATGATGACTAGTTGCTGTGGCAACCATCTCCCAGCCCCGCCTGCTCTCCTCAGGCTCCCTCCTGCCTTCCCTATGCTTCCCTGAGCTCCTCCAGGGACACCAGGTCATTCTCTGCCACAGGGCCCATTGGGGTTTATATGCTGAGTGCTGAGACTCTGATCCCCCTCACCTGATGAAGAAAGGAGCTACTTTTCCCTACATACCAGCCCAGCTATCTCATCTGACTTCTGTTTCCTGTCGCACAATGTCCCTGTATCTAGTATTTGTTTCCTCCATCACTCCCTACACTCTTTCTTGTGATTTTCCTCTTGCCATATCTGTGGGCCCCCATCTTGATTCTGTTCCCTCCACTTGTGCACACTCTCCCCTGACTCTCTCAAATCCTATATCCTTCTGACTGTCCTATCCCTGGCCAGGAGGAAGGGGGGGTACTTTGTCTGGGGCTGCATCTCACCAATCTCTTGTTAATGTATTTGGGTCAAATGAGAGGCCTCAATAAAGGATCTGGGGCAGCATGAGCAAGTGTCTGCTGATGAGGTCTCACCCCTATGCCAGGAAAGAGGCAGCCAGAGACTGGGAGATTTAGGTGTGGGTGACTTGTTAGGGGACTGTGGTGGGGGGGTTGGGGCTCCCTCCAGGCAGTTATCCCAGAGAAGCTTGGATTATTTATCTGCCGCAAGTCAACAAGCCTTTTCTGAACACATGGTGTTTGTCCAGCACCGCTATTAGGCTCTGGGAGAACAGAGAGTGCTGGGCCTGTCCCTGCTCTCGAGCTGTTTAGCCTCACTGGGAAGTCAAGACAAACACACTAAACAATTGAAGAAAAATACAAAGCAATATGTAATTAAGTGATTATGTGCTGCTTGATAGCACCCTCCCTGCAGCTCTTATTGAACATCGAGACTGAGCCCAAATAACACTTCCTCAAGGAGGCCTTCCCAGAGGTGGCCCCTCCTGCAGTTCCCTCCTCTGGGTTCACACTGCACTCTCTATATACACCTTTATTCTGATATTCAGTTTGTTCTATCATAGTTCTTCATTTACACGTCTGTCCTCCCCACTAGACTGTGAGCCCCTTGAAGGCAGGAACCCAGGCTTTTCTCTGTTTCCACAGGGCCTGACATGCAAAAAGTAGTCCCTAATAAATGTTAAAAGAAGGAACAAATGAACAGAATGGGCTCAGAGGAGAGAGATCAGAGTGGGCTTTGATGGCTTCATAAAGGAAGTGAGCATTTTCTAGGCCTTAAATGAAGAGTGGGATTTGACTGGGGGCAAAGGAGTTGGGGAGGGGACATTTCAGTCGGTGGAGACATCAAAAGCCCTGGCAGAATGTGTGTGTCATATTGGGGCCCAGAAGAAACCAGAGAGACAAGAAGAGGAGTTCAAGTGGTGGTCATGAGGTTGGGTGGGCATAATGGGGCTCGGCTGTAGAGGTGTTTGCATTTAATCCTGTAAGAAGTGGGGAAAGGGCAAAATTTAATCTGGCAGTGATGAGCAGGATGGTTATAGGGAGGGGAGCTGATGGAGATATCAGAGGCAGGGAGCCCAACTCATATAATCAGAGACTGTTATAATAATCGGGGTGAAGTTGGGAGAATATGCAAGTGAGTGGTGGTCACAGGAATGGAGAGGAAATGTTGAGTTTTGTACAACAGGGGTCCCCCAGACCTGGACCTCCTGTAGTTCCTGGCAGGAAGGATCCACATGCTCTCCAGCACAGCCCAGGCTGGGGTAAATATAAAGGAGTCAGGGTGGTGGAACCAAGCAACTGAATAAGCCCATAACTAATAGACATTACGGTTTTCATGGATCAGGTATAAAAGGGTTGCTGCGAGACTTAAAGGATTTATAAGCATGGAAGAATGAGACCTGAGGTTACAGAACTTGTCACTCACCCTCTACAGACAAATCCAGGGAGTGTTCCTAGAGAAGGTGGCAGGACTGTAGAGTAGAAACCATGTATTCATCCAACTTGTACCCATGTAATAAATGTTTAATATACATTATGGGCACTGGGCCAATACAATAATATTATGGAGCTTACTCTCTAGCATAGGTCAGTGAAAGGCCTCGGACTAATATCTCATGTGTTTTAAGTACCCATCTATGCCAGGCCCTAGGAGACTGATGATTTCTAGATCTCAGAAGAACTCTGTCAGATAGGAATCAGCATCACCATCTTACCAGAGAGGACACTCAGGCTCAGGGGCATAACGTGCCCCAGAAAGGAGCAGAGCTAGCATGAGCCCAAGTCCCCTGTACCTGGTTGCCTCTGGGAGACCTGAACGTTTCACTGACTGTAGATAAGTCATTTAGCTTCTCCAAGTCTCAAAGATGGGTCAACAAAATCATTTTTGGCGCTGCAACACAGAACAAATGTGATACACACAAAGGTAAATTATGAGAGTGCCTTACTATCAAAGGGGTAGTGACAGGGTGCACTGGGGGAGGAGATGGTGAAGAGCAAAGAAAAGGGCTGTGGAACCCCAAAGCAGCAGGAGCCGAGCCTGAGCCTCTTCGAGGAGCAGTGTAGACCCAAGAAATGAGAGGCTCACTTTAGGCTTCCTGAGGGGTCTCTGCCAGGTGGGAACTGGCATGAGGCCAGGGGGTTCCCAGAGGTGGTACAGACACTGATGGGACTCAGACCTCTTCCCAGGCCAGACTCTGCCAGAGTTGAGGTGGGACCCCTTAGGCTGGAGATGGGGGTGAAAACAGATGCTTCCCTGCTTCTTCCTTCCCTCTTTCAGTCTGGCTGAGAATCTGAGGGAGGAAAGTCCCTGGGGTGGAGGGGAAGTGAGAGCTGCCATGCTGGGCCTGAGCAGGGGCAGAGCTAGGAGACAGAGCTAAGTGGCTTTGCAAGTTGTCTATATTTGCATGCTGAGCTCACTGCTGCTCTTCTTCTCCCCAGAAAATAAAATTACATCATGGTAGGGGGAAGGCTGGAGGGTGGTATATTTGGGAAAGGTGAGAGGAACACAAGGGGGCCGCTGGAATCATCCTGGAGAGAAAAAGATCCATGGCTACAGGTCAAGGGAAGGAGGTCCCATGTTGAGTCTGAGCCCCAACCCCTACTGCCAACCCCACCACCCAATGTGGGTAAGTCTGAGCTCCCCTGACCCATAAGGGGAGGGAAAGAGGTTTTCCAAATACCAAGTCTAAGAGGACCCAGAGGTCAAAGGCCTTCCAAACCCCTAAACCCTAACTCACTCTGTGCCTCCCAGGGTCCTAGCCACTGTGGCCACCGAAAGGTCATAAGGGGAGGGGACAGTCCCATCGGGAAAGAATTAAATCTGAGATTTGGGTTTTGCGGTTTACGGAAGAGGCAGCGTACCTACTCCAGCCCTCCCCCATTTCTGTCCCCCATCCCAGGAGCCTTCCAGAACCCCAGCCCCCGGCTGCCTCCCCTCCCCC